GGATCCCATCTCCACCCCCCAAAGGACCCCAAAATCCAGCCCCCACCACCATGCATGTGGGACCCTGTCCCTGGGGCCCATGCTGGGGGGGCCACGTGCAGATGTCCCAAGGCATCCCCCTCGGGTGTCCCCCTCTCCAATCTTTAAACGGGGGGGGGGGGGGGGGTCGGGGCACAGGCATCCCCCCCAGGCAGTGGCACCGAATCACTCACAGGCCCAGCGCTCAAGAAATGTGTTTATTGCAAACCAAGGGGAGGGGGGGGGGCAAGGGGATGGCCAGGGACCCCCAGCCCATGAGCTCCAGGGTGGGGCCCAGTGGGAAGCTGCAAGAGCTGGGCTGGGGGGGGGGGGGGGCAGGGCTCCCACATCCCCCCTCCCGGACCTGACCCGTGCCAGGGAAGCCCAGATGTTTCTGGGGCTACTGCCCACTGGTATGGGGGGGGCTGGCGGCCATCAGGGCTGGCCTGTAGCCCCCTGCCAGGGAACCCCCCCGCCATGGTGTTGTGGGTGACAGCCCCACTGCTCCCTGCCAACCTCCCCGAGGAAGGGGGAAGCAAACCCCAGGGACTGGCTGGGGTCTCTGCCCGCCGCTGAGGGGGTGTGCCCATCCCGGACTCCCTCTGGCAATGGGCTGCTGGGGGGTGAACCGGGGAGAAACCCCCCATGGCACTGGATGGGGCCCTCTGGCTGGGCAGGGGGCAGGGGCAGCACAGCACCCGTGGGAGACCCCCGGAGCAGGACCCAGCGAGGGGAGTTGGGGGTGCCAGGCAGGCAGGGCAGCAGGCAGGGCAGCAGGCAGGGTGCGGGCAGGGGCAGGGTCTCTCCCCATGTGCCGCCCCACCATCCCTGCTGCCCGTACCCGGAGCTGCGGAGAGCAAAGCTCCGCCTGTGAGGGGCAAAGCTGCCCTGTGCCAGGGCAGGGAGGGATGTGCACCCCCAGAAGCCCAAAAAGAAGCATCTTCAGCCACCAGAAATAATAATTATGTCACCCAGTGAGCTCCGTCTATTCCGGAAAAATAACAAGAGCCGTGCGAGGCAAGGAGAGAAGGGTCCCAGCCGCTTGGGTTGCCTTGGTGACGGGACGTAAATCTGCATTCGCCAGGTTTCCCTGCACGCACATCAAACCGCCGAGGCTGGTGCCAGTGCCAGTGCAGGGTGGTGAAGGCAGTGGAAGGGTGCTGGCAGCGTGTATCATCGAGTGGGTTACGGGCACCAGCATTGAGTGCGAGGGTCTGGGGTGGGTGTCTGGGTGGGTTTCTTCTCTCCCCGCTTCATTTCTCGGCCATTTTTTGCCGCTGTCAAAACTGCACAGCACCGGGGGAGATGTTGAACATGGAGGGGTCAAACTTCTGGCCGCGGAAGGGGGAGCCCTCGGTGTCCCAGCCCTTCTTCAGCATCTCGTGCACCTTCTGCAAAGAGGCCACAGGCTCCCGTCAGGCCCGGGTTGAGCCCCCACCTCTGCCCGTGCCCCTCGCCCTCCCCGCCACCCTAGACGAAGGTACAGGCTCATCCCACAGGTGTCAGGGCTGCATGCCCACCCGACGCATCGAAGAGAGTTGTGGGGCTCAGCAACAGCACCCCTCTGCCCTGGGTGACAGCAGCAGCGATGTCCAAGGGCGCACAACCACCTCCGTGCTTCACCCACCCTCCTCTCCTCTGCCCAGGAAAGGGCAGATGGCACACGGGGACAGGAAGGAGCGATGGGCAACAAAAAGCAGCTCCTTCGTCAGGCTGAACCCAGACCCATGTGGGTTCATCCCAGAGTGGAGGCAGCGGGGAGACGGTGGGGCTGGCTCCGGAGGGAGGCACACGGATGTGGGGCCCAACAGCGGTGCAGGGCGGGGTCCAGGCTCACAGGCATTTGCCAAGGTGCCGGGAAGGGGAAGACCGTGCAGGCAAAAGACAGGGACTGGCAGAACATCACGCCCCCAAAATGGAGATGTGGGGGGGACGCTGTGTGAGGAGGAGCTCTGAGATCGAGCAGAGCCATGGAGCTGCCACACGCCGCACCCTTTTACTGGAGATGGGACCCACAGAGGAGCCGGAGGGCATGTGGCAGCACAGGGTGGCCGGCACCTACCAGCTCATGGCTCTGGGGCTTGCCCTGCAGCTTCTGGTGGTAGTCGAAGGTGAGGCGGTCCAGCACGGCATGCTCCTCCTCGTCCACCGTGGCCATGGAGCGCTCCTTGTTGATCTTGTCGATGTCGATCTGCTCCTCACCCTCCAGGATGGCGTTCCACCAGTACTCGTCCCCTTTGTTCAGGTTGATCTGGGGATGAGGTGCAAGTCAGAGGAGAGCGGGAAGAGGAGCCCCCGTCCTGCCCCTGGGATGTGTTACCCCCCACCCACCCCACACCCCTGTGGCAGCGATGCCGTGAGCTCGGCCGTGCCCGTGCATCACTCCGCAGCGCTGCTGGGGCTTGCCCATGAGCGAAGGTTCCCCCCCCATGGCTGGCAGAGAGGGCGAAACCCTTGTCCCTCCCTCCCTTGGTGGTCCAAGGGCTTTGCACAACTCCACCATGGCCCTTCACAGCCCCAGCTCAGGCCTCTGGGCTGGATGGCACAGCTGAAATCTTGGACCACGTCACGGCTCGAGGCCAGGACGGGTGTCCTCCGCAGGGGCCTTGGCTGCAGGCAATGCCAGCCTGGGGCCGCATAGCCAAAACACAGTATGGGGCCCAGAGAGCTGGGCTGGCTCGTCTGCAGCCACCCAGGAGTCAAGGGGTGGGGACCTGTCAGATGAAGAGGCCCTAGCCTGGTAGAACCTGGGGCCAGGGCTCCCAGCATCGCAGCGCTGTGATTTTGTGTTTCGCTAACCCAGAAGGAGCCCTTGCCTCAGCTCTCCCTGGGGCTCGCTCTGCGGGCGGGAGCGTGGGCAGCAAAGGAGGCAAAAATGTTGCCCGCCGCCCTGTGCCACCTCTGCTCACCACCAGCACCTGCCTCCCATGGCACCGTGGCTCGTCAGCCAGCCCCAGAGGGATGGTTCGAGGAGAAGGGACATCCCCTCGCCTCCAGCCAACATCCTCGCTGGCAAAAGCTGCTGGCCATAGCCGCGGGCCTCGCCGACGCAAGAGCAGCACCTTGCATGGAGCCGGATGGCTGGAGGAGCTGTGCCGGGTGGCAGCGAGTGCCGGCATGACTGCGGGGCATCCCACAATGGGAACCCCGACTTGCTTTTTTTTTTTTGCCAGGAGGGGTGGGCTTCTTTCTCCTGTATTATTTTAGCAATAATCCCAGCAGCAAGGAAGATTTATGGCGTTCGTCGTCCTCTCTGCAAAATCATCAATAAAGGCAGACAATACAATTTACTCAAACCTCCCTGGAAGCTCAACAGCTCTGGAGGGGAAAACACAGGCAGCCATTAAAGTTACAGAGCTGGGTGTCTCTCTGCGGTGCAAAGAAAAGGAACCAATTAATACGGGAGGGGGTGGCTGGGGCTTAATCCTTCTGGGAGAGCAGAGCCGGTAAAATATTCCAGCTCGGGGAAGGCATTAGTTTTTCCAGCTAGACAGGCGTGCTCGTTCTCCTCTTAATTGCACAGTTCCACTTTCGAGGGGAGGAAGAGCTGCTGAGGGTTTGCTTGTGGGCTTCCCAACCCTGGGTGGGCAGATGGGGGAACGGCAAGCTCCCCTGGGAACGTCATGCCCTCAGCGGGCAAGATGAGCTGTGGGTCAGCAGGCCCATCCAGCCCAAGGCTCTGGCAGGAGCACTCTCCAGGCTTGCTGCTGCTCCTCCAGGTTTGAAACAAGAGGAATGTCCCCACAGTGCCACTGGTGAGGTGTGAGCTTCCCCGGCGATGGCTTTAGTGTGAGGCGTGCTCTCAGGACATCGCTGCCGAGCGCGTACGACAAGGGCCCGCTTGGTACGTCCTCACCGGAGCCAGGATGGCAGCAGAGGGATGAACCGACACCTGAGGACTTTGTGGTTTATCAGGCATCACCCCACCTCCATCCCAGAGCACCAGGGGAAGGAAAACCCATGCCCTCCACCTTCCCTACCAAATCCCCTTCTTCCCCTGGCACCCCACCACCGTCCCTCACCACCTGCAGACCCCAGGGAACCCCGACGGAGCCACGGACCAAGTGGGAAACATCCACGAGACCTGAATCCCCCTCATCCACAGACCACCCCCGGCGAAAGACAGCGGAGCTGCCGCCGTGAGCGCCAGCCCGGGGATCCTTTCCTCCTCCCCGCCTCATGCGTGGCCCTCGCTTTATTTACCGCATACTGTTTCCCACCCTGCTGGGAAGACAGAATTATTCATTTCCTCGCCAGCTTTTCTGCGGTGCGCATCACTACAGCGCTGAGTGCTTTGCAAACAATAATTAATTAACCTCTGCAGCTCGCCTTGTGCGCACAGGGGAATTCGCTCATCCCCCTTTATTCCAGGGGGAGAGACACAAAAGTAGAACTCGGTCCAAGGCAGGAGCCCCACTTTCCAACACGAGCCTCTGAAATGCCCACGGGCCAGGGCAAAGCTTTCTCTGTCACCCTGAGTTTGGGGTTTTGTGGTTCGAAGTGGTGCTGGAGCACTCGCCACGGACAGGTCTGACCTCCAGGATGGGGAGCACGGGCTCAGGCTGATTCTCGGACACGTTTCTGCCAACAGTCTCCATTGATTCAGCCCAGCACTCAGCTGGGCACCAGGGCTACAAGAGCTTGTGGTGATGGGGACGTGGGCTGGAGCCTTACCGAGCGCTTGGGTGCAAGAAGGTCGACGTAAGGGAGAGCCAAGAGACCACAGCAGATCTCTGGGCTCAGCCCAGGCAGGGTGATAGCCTGCGAGTGCCAGCCCTCACCCACTCACCCACGGAGGAAGGCTCCAGCGCTCGACCGACAGCACCATGCAAGGCTGCACGTTTCCTCATGGAGTGCTCCAGAAACCCTGCAGGGCTCCAGGAGGGAGCAGGGCTTTTTTCACAAGGACAAATCTCGACCTGATTATGTTTCACGCTTCAAGACAAGGCAAAAGCTTTGCCCTCGCTTGAAGCTGCCGCTACAAGTTTCTCAGCCGACAGCTCAGCCCGGACCTCCAGGGTCATAGAAATGCTGGTGGCCGTTTGCCAGAGGAAGGATCGGGTCCCTGCAGCGTGCCTGGGCTCTCAGTCAGACTTTGGCTCTGCTTTTTAGGCTGGCGGGTCCCAAAGGGCCCTCTGGGTTGTAGGGAGACCCTTCATCCCCAGCCAAAAGGGATAAAGCCCAGCTGAGCCTTTTGGGGCTCACAGGGAGGCAGGAACAGCCTCTGCAACAGTGGCCTGAGGAGAGGGAGGCTTGCAGGGGGGACATCCTCGCTGCTGTATCCGAAGCTGGCAGTGTCCTCATGCCACAGCGCTCATGTTCCCAAAGCTGGTGTCCGAGACATGAGCTGTCAGCCACGAGGGGAAAGGGCTGTTCCCACGCTGGCGCACACAGCAAGGCACAGGAGCCGGGCAAGGATAGATCGTAAGGAGGATCGCTGCAGGCGGAGATGAGCACGCAGTGGGGATGGGACACTCGGCAGGCACGTCTGTGGCCAGGAGGGATCCTCCAGTAGCACACAAAGAGGGTGACAGGCATCATCTGCATGGACGTGGTGTCATGTCACACCTTCACGCCCTGCCGGGAAGGTCACAACCCTTCGTCACCGGTGCTGGGCTTTGTCATAGCACGAGATTTCTTCCCTGATTCTAAATACCTTGTCAGAGCTGGAGAGATGTTGCCAAGGGATAAAAGTAGGTCTTGGAAACACAACCTCTCATCACCTGCTTTCCTTCTGGAACAATAGCAGCCATTGCCCCAAAAGTCAGTGGGAGATGTTTAGGGGTTATGGAGGAGGCAGCAGGCAATGTTGGGAGGGCAGGGTGCCGGGAGGGCACCACAAATTATTATTAACTTGGCCTCACGGCTCCTGAGATGACAAGCTGAAGGCTGCAATAGCTGTTCAAGGCAGGACTTGGTGACAAAAGCCCAAGCATGGATAACAAATGCCGGAGAGGAGGAGAAAAAGAGAGGGAACAGGGAAAAAAATCCTCAACAACGAAAATAATCCCAAAATGTGTTGTGCACAACACCCAGCGGAGATTTCTAAAAACAGCTCATGCAAAGTTATTTTAATCTCACTTTTGACAAGCGAGCGGGTGTGAGAGAGAAGGGAGAGCACAAGGATTATACCCGGGACTGGGGCTTCGGTGCAGCACCACAGGCAGGGACATGAGCCTGGGACACCAGAGCCCCCAACGTGTGTTGTGGGCATCGGCAGAGCGCTCCGCTTCGAAATGATGCCCGCTGGGCTTCTGCGCAGCCAGGCTGTCGTACAAACCGCAAGCGTGCCAAAGGACAAGATGGGAAACACGTTGGTGCTCAGCCCAGGCGCCGGCAGGGAGAACCTCATGGAGCAGGAGGGGAAAGGCAGAGCAGTCTCTGAGCACTGGAAAGAGGGGAGCACTGGGGCTGCTGGAGAGCGGGCAGACGTGCGGCGAGAAGGAGAAATTGGTAGGAACACTAGACAGGGTGGGTAAAGCAGCGCTGGGGTGCGTTATAAGGCAAATTAACCTTCTTAGAATAAGAGCTGGGGGGGACAAGGGAGGCCAGTTAATGAGAGCCTGTGAATGGCCGTCCCAGAAGCATGGGGCAGGGGAAGCTGAGGAGGTGAAAGGCGGCTGTAATGGCAGCCCCGAGAGCACAGGGATCTCGACGATCCTTGACACGTCCTGCAAGAGCCGACGGGACTCAACAGCCTCTCTGCACAGAACTGGGACTTTCCCAGTTGGACAAGACCAAACAGGAGAGATTTCACCTTCTTGGCGCATGGATCAAGATCTGCCCACAGGGATTGCCTCAACTCACAGACCACAAAAACATGTGCATGCACAGGTTTTTCTCTGGACAGAGTCACCGAGGTACCCCAAGCGGTAACCAAGGCGGCCAGGATCTCCTCGGATGACTCCTGCACTGGCACTGGGTGAGTTCAGTTTCGGCTGCATCTCCGCCCTGCCAGGGGACACCGTCCCCTGGGTCCCGGGGAAGGAAGCCATGTGGCACCTTGGGGCACCTTGCAGGACAAAGACATTCCCGACCGCCGCATTCGGAGTTCACAGGGAGCTGCGCAACATGTGGACGCACAAACTCGGGTACAGAAAGGGCCCGTACGCCCTGTCAGCCCTCCAACCAAACCCAAACGGCTCCTGTCCAGTCTCCTCCCTGGCGCTGAACAAAGCAATTCATTAACACATGGCTGGTTGTCTCCTGATGAATGAATCGGAAGGAGTCACAAACCACTTTTGGCTACTCTGCGCACGGAAAAAGGAGATGCTCTCGGGCGAGAATTACTCACTCTGCTCCAGTTACCTTACAATTCTTCAAGCGAAATTTCATCCCACCATCAATATGTTGGCAGCCAGCTGGAGATCCTCACAACCCCGTGCTCGTACTAATTCAAGGCAAGACCCAGCTCTAGGGTTGGAGGTAACGGGACCGCTCCCCACACTGCCCGCGGCCGCTCCAGAAGGCCTCAAGTCTCGCTCCACCCGTGCGCCGTTCCCATCCTCCTCCGGCACCGGGTATTTAACAAACATTGCCTCCCTTGCTGATCCTGGGAACACCCACCAGGGACTCACATCCGCGCTGTGGAGCAGCCACCCGTTGGGCCACCTCCTCTTGAATGGGTTTACTCCTTCCCAGGGTTGCTCCTCTTCCCAGATCAGCTAATTTTCAAGAAGCTTAAGAACATTTAAAAAATGCAGGTTAATGATGCCACCGCCTCCTTTTTCACATCCTTTCAATGGCCTAACGGAGTCAGAGAAGCTCCTCTCTCTTGCAGTGACCTCACCCTTTTGGTACCACTCTGTCATCCCGGGGTACATCCATACACATCTGCGGTGGCCAGGCAGCACCCGCGCAGCCTCCCCACACACCACCCTCAGCACTGCTACCTCTGGCAGCACATTCCCACTTGACTTCCCGCTGCGGGGGCTTGGCTTCGGGTGCCTGTCTGCTGCCACCCTTGTGACACGGGGTGGAAGGCTTGAAGCCTGCCCGCTCCCTCCCTTGCAGGGACAGTGCTGCCTGCACAGGGTTGGGAACTGCCTCACCTGCCTGACCCAGGCAGCTGGCATCCCCTCCTGAGGCTCATGACAGCCTTGAGACTCCTGAAACTCTTCTGGGAAAGCCTCTGGATGGAAAAGGAGAGCGCAAAGATGGCCACAGGGGGCAAAACCCCACTGCTGGCACAATCCTGGCCCCAAAACTCACCTAGGAGTTTGGCAACCATTTGACACTCGAGATCTCAGGCTGATGGGCAGCAACACAACCCCTAGGACAGCTTCAGCTGTGGACACAGCCCTGGGACAGCAGAATTCACACTCTCAGCCTGGACATTTGGAGCACACCAGAAAGGAGTCATGAGGCTGGGAACACACTGCTGGGCATCAACAGCCCCCAAACCACCTCGACAGGGAAGATTTGTGGTACAGAGGTGGCAGGCACACAGCAAGCCACGGTGCCTCCTGAAGGCAAACACAGAAGTAGCCACAGCGACAAATTCAAACAGGATAAGTAAGAAACCCAAGGCAGGACAGAAACGAATGGCAGGGAACAGGCATCTGCCGGGATGCTGGGGAAGGACCGGGGCCAGGAGAGTCAGAGCGCAAAGCCAGCAAGGACAACTGCACAGCACTGGCACCACAGTGCAGTGCCATGGCCTCTCTCTGCTGGCAGACCCCGCGTGCTGGGATCAGGAGACAGTGACCATCTCTAGATAACAGATGTGCTTCCACCACCACAGGCTGGAGCTTGGGGACCCTCCTTGCCCAACCCGGTGGATGTGTTGCTCTGCCAGCACCCCATTGCCACTCACCCCAAGGGGCAGCTCAGGGGCTGAAGGCAGGGCACAGCACACAGGCAAGGGCAAAGTGAGATGGACATTGGATGGGGAAAGCCAGACGTGCAGATCTGGCTCAAACTTCCAGCTGCTCCAGTTTTCCAGGTCAAGCCCAGCGGAGCTGCAAGCCAAGGTGCGGAGACACAGCTGACGCGGACCACCCTTACCAAAACACACTTCCCTGGCTCCAGGCTCCAGAGGGAACTCTCTGTGTTGATCTTGTGGGTGAGTTTCCCTTCCATGAGGACGCGCTGGCTGCTCCCTTCCAGCACCGCTACGCGAATCGTGCCGCTGCTGATATCCACAGAGACCTGGAAACACAGAGAGAGAAAATAATCAGGAAGATTCCTGCTTGACCTCTTGCTGTGCTAGTTGGGGTGTGGGGTCAAGTGCACTCGCTGGGGATGAAAGAGAGAGAAGAGCTTTCAGACCTGCATGTAGCAGGAGGGTAGGAATCCCGCTGTCATTTCAGAGCAAATAGCAACAGCTCGGAGGAGAAAGGAAACCTCTCTAGGCAATTAAAGGCAGCAGGGCCCAGCAGATGGAACCCTAGAAGGATTCGAGGCAACTGGTTCTGCCACTGCAACTGCCCCGTGCCTCAGTTTCCCCACAGAGAAAACCAGCAACACTACAGGCCTCCTCCATACAGCGCTCAAAGGTTGGACGCCCATTTGCTGCGACCGAGCTCTTTAGGAGCACAGTGGGTGCCTGGCCATCACCATGATGAGCTGAGCATGGGTGTGTGTCTTCCTGCGGGCTAAGCGCTTCCCTACCGAGCAGAAGCAATTTGGGGATTTCTACAGTAGGAAGGGCTGCAGCGGCTCATCCCCCCTTCTGCTGCACCGCACCAAAAGCACACTCCTTGGCTCCATTTCTGCCGCCAGAGCCAGCACTGGGCTCAGCCCAGGCCTCCCGTCGGGCATGCGAGGAGGGGCTGTGTGCAGGAGGGACGCTGCAGCACAGCTCCCCTTCTCCCCACCACGGGGGTGAGGGGACCAGGCAGCTCTGTCCCCAGGAACAGGGTCAGCTCCCACCTGCAGCAGCCATATGGGGAACCCTGCTCTGACCTGCTGTGGAGGTGACATGGCTCTCCCCCAGGGAGACAGAGGCAGACTGCTACTTTGCTGCATGACACGCAGTACCCTCGGTCTCCGGAGAGACCATATGCTCTCTCCTTTCCCCTTCGGCCCTGAGCTGCCACGAGCAGAGAGCCCAAGTCAGGCTGGGGGGACTAAGGGAGGACCTGTCTGGGAAGGGGCAGGTTTGTGGCCCCCAACACTGCCCTGTCTCTGGCCTGAAAGGAGGAGACTGCAGTGAGATTTGCCTGCATTCTCTCCCAGAGTTCCCCCAGATCTTCCTCCCGCTCTGCAGATCTCATTTGAAATGTTATTACATTATCCATTACCTAGGAGATTTCCAGTGGCTCACTAGCTCCACGCAGGCAACAGACAGCCAAAGCTCCTCCAGCCGGGGAGGGCACCACCACTGCATCTGATTGATGCCACCCAGATAAAGCCCCCAAACCTGCTGTGTGTGAAAGGGAGCTGCCAGGGCTTCGACAGGAGTGGAGGAGGCCCAGCACACACAGCACAGGGTGACACCAGGACTGAGCTCTGATGCCAGCAGCTGGGAGCAGGACCATGGTTGCAGGGGATCGGGGAAGGGACGCAAGCTCCGGCTCTGCCAGATGGGAGAGGACAACTGGCTTTCACCCAGCACGTGGCTGCAGACAGCCTCTGAGAAAGCAGCTCCTCCTGGATGGGAAACATCTCCAGAGAGGCTGCAGCACGGAGCAGCTTCCTCCAGCCCAGGGCTGAGGCCTCATGGCAGGGACGAGGTGCAGGGATGAGGCTCTGCTCTCCGCCACCACCAACTGCCCTGGGCCCCGGGCACAAGTACAGGGTGGCTGATGTTAGGGTCTCAGCACGGCACAAGGCCTGCCCAGAAAGGGTCAAGGGGAAAAAAGCAAGGTGACCCCCAAGTCACCTTCTGCAGGGGCTTCTTTGGGGCATGGAGGGCCAGGGAGGCTGGAGATACAGAAGGCACAGACACAGCATTGCAGCTGTGGTATCCACGGGGACAGGAGCAATCAAATGTGAGAGGGGTTTTACTCCAAGGTGGCTGCACAAGACAGCTGGTGGGGCTGAGGGACATCTTCGAGGCGGCTCTGGGACCAGCAGGGCATTAGGAGAGGGAGCGGAGAAACCCAAATGGAAGAAGAGATCCAAACCAGGCAGCCTTAACCCAGCCATTTCGCTACACAACCAGCCAGCGCGAGAAGTGATCACAACACCTGCTTCTACCTGCAGCCAACAAAAAGGTCCTCTTGGCATGCCAGCCCACCAGGAGTGGTGACAGGGGACAGGAGCAAAGCATGCACTGCTGGAGAGCCTTGATCCCCCTTGAGCGGAGAGAAATGTCCAAGAGGACTCACGTGTGCATGTGGTAGTGCCTGGTGAACACAGGGTTTGGTGCACGTGGGCAGTGGCTCCTTTTCAGGTGCCTTGGTGGAAAAACCGTCTCTGCTCACCATCCCCACTCCACCCGGGAAGGTGGCTGGGCTCTCCAAGGGGCTGCCCTCCCTCCCTCCGCACCCTGCCACCTGAACCATTCCGCCATGCTGCGCACAGGGCATGCACGGCTGGCAAAACCGGGGTTTGCCAGAACCAGGCATGGACAGCCCACACTTGACCCCAAGCAGCGGCTGGGGAGAAGCCAAGGGTGATCCTGTGGGAAACACGCTGCCCTGGCAGTGCAGCCATGAGCTGGGGAACCCCAAGGGCTCCGAGGCTGCTCATCCCCCACCACGTGCTCCCCACAAGTACCTCTGCCCCCAAAAATGCCTGGCTCTCCTGGCGCTCATGAGGAAACCTAGATCTCGGCGCTCTGCCGTGGCTTTCCACCACAGTAATTTCTGTGCACACTAAAACACCCACACCCGCCCACGCAAATCAAACAAGCAAACACAAACCTATGAAGGAATCCAGCTTGTCTCCTCTGAGCCAGGCAAAAAGAGAGGCTTGTTGTCATTATCTCTATTTAAGTGCTCGGGAAGTGCTCAGATGCATGGGCCCCTGTAGTGCCTGTAAGTACATCAGAGAGGTGGAGACCACAGAGGAAGATGCTCCCACCTACCCCATTGCCCATTCCTGCTCCACGGACACTTTTTTGGAGCTCCATACAAGGAAACCTTAAGCTCGCCCGAGAGAAAATGTGCCATAGCAACAGCCTGAATCCAAAAAAGTGTCATAAGGAAGATTTTGAGCAGCATTAGAGCTGGGCGCGCTCTGAGCCCAGGGACCAAACAGGGGAGATTTTTAATCTCGCCTTGGCAGGCAGCAGCCAAAAACCTGATAATTTTTTAAAAAGATGAAGCTGTGTGGTGAATGTAGGGGAACGCTTCTCTTTTGCAGGAACCCATCAACAACACATCCGAAGTCCATCGAGCTTTAAAATGGCTCTGAACCATCCTGCTTTGGCCTGTGACCCAGCCTGTCTGCTTCCAGTCCCCTGAGGCTGGAAGAGATTTAGAGAATCACTCTAAAATGAAAAGTTGGCTGCCAAGAGGAGCCCCAAGAGGGATGTATGAACCAAATACCAGGAGATGCCTTGCAAGGATGAGGAAAGTCCGACATCTGAACAATCGATTGCCCCGAGAGGGCAGCGTAGGCAGAAACGGGGGCCAGGGCAGGCAGAGCCACACCACAGGCAACTGCGTGGGAAGGAGCTGCCTGATAATCACCCCCACTGACACACAGGGGCTCTTCCGCAGCGACAGCATAGCCTCAAGTCGGGGGAAAGGTCCCATCCCAGCTCCTCCGCGCAGGGCCCCCACACCTCTGGGTGGCAAAGGATGGGGCAGACAAAGCCTGGTATGCCTTTTTTTGGCAAGGACACAACTCCCCTGGCACAAAAGGCACTTCCCTGGGCAGGGAGAGCCATTGTGACCGCAATACAATGCAGAGGGATGGAACATCCGTCTGGACACCCTCAAATCTTTCCAAGAAACAGCCTGGGTTTGTTTTAGAGACCCACTGGGAGAGATGCATCTCCTGGTCCCCCTGCTGTCCCCGTGGCAGCCGTTTGCTCCCTCACCCCTCTGGTGCGGGTTGCTGCTGCCAATTACACTCTTTTGGCATGATCAGGAGCTGTGTAGGCTGGAGCCAGTGAACAAACCCAAGCGTGCTCATTTCAGCCACCCTGGAAGCAGAGGAGAACAGGAGGTGGGGGAGCAGGGACTTCCCAAATGGAAAAATACAGGATCAGCCGTGGGGAGGGCAGCATTCAGGAAAGACAGAAGAGTTCAAACTTCTGGGTCCAACTAATGCCAGCCGTGGGCACGCTCCTCTCAAGTCTCTCACCGGGAAGGAACAGAAGCAGTGAAGGAAAAATTATGTGACTGCTTGTGGCCACGAGCAGAGAAAGGAAGTTCCTGCCTGAGGCAAGGAGGGAGGTGAGACCTCCCTGCCCACACAGGCAGCCAGGGAGAGGGTCTGGCCACTCAGCCTGCACCCCAGCCCCAGCTCCCTTCCACCCAGAGCAGGTCAAGTCTCACACGGGCTGTGTCTGCTCCAGTTCCCGAGTTCCAGAGGAGCTCCAGCAGCTCCCGCTTGCAAATGAAAGGCAGGAGACACTCCAAGCTAGAGGGAGCGGCCAGGGAAGGAGTGTCCATCCCCAGCCAGGCTCAGAAACCCGCATGCGAGTTTGCAGTCAGTGGAAGGGGAGAGAAAAAGTGCAGAAAGTGCCACGTGGTGCCAGGGAACCCCGCTGGGGCCGGAGCAACAGGACACTGCAGTCACAACAGGAATGCAGCCAGGCTGGGACCATCAGTCCCCACTAGCCACACACCCAGCACCGGAGAAAAAGGCACAACTGCATCCTGCTCCTTGAGTACAAAGGACAAGGAGCTTTCCCGCTCCAAACACAGCTTCCTGGGAAAGCTGGGCACCCTGAGGGAAAGGGAAATGCTGAAAGACACACCATTAAGGCTGCTTTACCTGTTTGCCTTTTACGATGTGCTTGGGCACGGGCACTTTAATCTCCAGGTCACTGTAGTCTTGGGACCAGGCATAATTCTCTCGCACAGCTCCGTTGTAGCTGTCGGGGTTTGTCTGGAACTGCTCCTGTCTCCTGGGGAGGAAGAAATGGGTGACATGCTAAGTGTTGGACAGATCAGAGCCTGGAGAGAGCAGGAAACCTGAGAGCAGGGTACAAGAAGCAGAAGGGCAGGGCAGAGCCTCTGCTCAGCCATCCTGCAAGCATCCCTAATGCTTCAGGCTGATGCCCAGTCTCCCTCGCTGCTGGCCCTATCTAGGAAGGAAGAAGGTTCTGGCTGGCAGCCCCAGGACACAGAGAGACCCCAGCCACCCTGCCTGTTGTTGGCGACCCACACACCCCTCACTGCAGTGTGCTACAATGCAAGTCAGGCTACTAACAGGACAACTGACAAGACACACGACAATTTGGCTGCCCAAAGGTGCAGAGCTGGCCGCTGGCTGGCTCAAGGCGCCTTCCCAGCTAACTCCACTTGAGCACAGAGCTCCCCTTCCCCTCCACCTCCCTGCTGCATCCACCGTCAGAGCTCGAGCGGGGGACACTGTCACACGCTGGAGGGTGTGTGCTGTCTTCTGAGTCACTGCCATGGCTGCAGAGGTGGTGGCCCATCACTGCGACCTGGGTTCACCATGAAAAAACACAGCTGGTCGTCCTCCTCCTGATTTTAGTGTATTTGGGAAAACCATCATCTGTCACAACTGGATCAGTTGCTGATGCAGAGGTGATGGAGCTGCGGAGCAGAACGCCTGAAGAGCCAGCCTGGCATGGCACTGCAAGGGGCCAACTGGGCAAGTGGATCACGAGCAACACTTTGAGCAAAACACTGCCACTTCCAGCTGCGGAAATCTCAGGAGAAGGATGAGAAGGTGGTTGTGGGGGTAGGATGGGGTTTATCAGATCAATAAGCAATAATCAATACAGCGTTTCCAGCCAAGAAAGGAGATGTCCATCACACCCATGACCTTTTAAACTGCTGGCAGGCTGAGGATCTATTCCATCGAAACCTCCCAGAGAGGGCTTTCAAATAAAATAAAATCTTTTCTAAAGATAGCTGCGGTGCTAACAAAAGGCAGAGTTATTTTAAAATGTTTTGATACGTACCTAGTCTTCAATCTGGAGCTGTATAAACACGGGACTGCAGCGAGTTATGTAAGGGGGGGGCCGGTGATGAGTGGCCCCGGGGGGCAGCTGGCCCCCCGGATCGTGTATCCCCCTGCCCCGCTGTCTTCCCGACACCCCCACACCGAGGGGCCCTCGCCAGCACCAGGCAGGGGTGGCTTCCAGCAGCGTGGCGCCCTGAGGATTACGTAAGATCCATCGATTTTAATGAAATTAGGCTCTAAGACAGTCGGAGGGTGCTGTCGAAGGGGCTGTGTGTACAGGCTCCCCCCTTTTTTTTTTCTCGATGGTTTCACAGGGTTTTACCTGCCCTGTTACAACCACCCGCACCCCAAGGTGGTTTTGATCCAGTTCCCCGGGCAGCACAGGCAGCACTGGGGGGGCTGGCAGCAGCTGCGGGCTCCCAGTCTCGGGCTGGCGATTTCAGGGGGCACTGCATCACTTTTTTCGGGCATCTTGGCCTTGCCTGGCAGTCGCCCATTGGGTGCCCATTGCCATGGAAACGGGGTTGGCATGGCAGCGCCGAACCAGCGCTGGCGCGGGTTGGCTCCAGCTGTCGGTTTCCCAACCGCCCCCGGATCGTAGGAGTCGAACAGGCTGGAGGGCCAGAGGGGGAACGGTGCGGGCGACCAGGGTCTGCTGGGCCCCGCTCTCACCCCGCGGAAAGCAAAGGGGTTGAAAGGAGGCAGCGCGTCCCTGAGCATCACCTTGTGTATCCCCAGGTCCTCACCTAGAGCCAGCCCAGCGGTGGCACCTGGCCCCGCTCTCAGGGCACAATCGTCCCAGAGACCATCCTGCACAAGCCCCAGGCAGAGAGGAGGGACCTTTCTCTCCAGGGTGAGGATCCGTGCGCTGCCCAGGGCAGCTTAGCTGGTTAAGGGCCTTCGCAGGACATGTCCCTGCGCGGCGGGGCCTGCACGGGCATGGCACAGGTCCACGAGGCTCCTGCCCGCTGCCCCGACTCTCTCAGACTGGAGCAAGCATGTACATGGCCACCCGGTGAACCGGAGCACAAACCTGACTGGGGTTTAAAACCTGCTGGGTTTTTTCCTCCTAAGAGCATGCTTCCTTCTAATCAGAGTGGACCTGAGCTGCGACGCAGAGCTCACCATGCTCCTTGCCAGAGAGACACCAGAGAGCAGGCATGTCAGCTGGGAGTCACCATCCCAAGCGGGATCAGCTCCCTGAGAGCAAGCAAAGAACCAAACAAGAACCAGCAAATGGCTACTTACTTCCAGGCTGTTCCCCCACCAGCCTTCCCTGGGAAAAGCTCGAGGACTAAAGGGGGACGCAGCAAGCCCGTGCCCCAGCCAAGGCTTGTTAGAGCAGACGCAGAGCATCAAAGATGGGAGAAAACCCATCAGTGCAAAGGCATACGTGGGTAAGACGCCAGCTGCAAATATCTCACGGCCACAGCACGGACGAATACAATCCTGGGGCAGTCACTCACTGCCACAAAGCCACTGGGTCCATCCTTGTTGCACCTCTTCCTCAGGAGGAAAGTGCTGGGGCTGAGCAGACCCCAGCCAGGTGCTTCCTGGATGGTTTAGCCCTCCCAAGAGCTCGCCAAGCATGATTTAGTTGTCCCATGAGGGCATGAGTGGCTTCACGGCAGCTCTGGGAGACGTCAGTGTTAACTGGGTTACTTCCACAGGGAAACTGAGGCAGGACTTGGTCTGCAATGACTGTCAAAACTTCTCTTTGCATGGCATTGCTACTGAACAAGCAAAAGCAGTCTTCCTCCTAGTCCCGATTGTTCCCCGTGGGACAGCTCTGTCCTCGCTCCCTCCGTGCCCGATCTAGAGCAGCACACCGGGTGATGGAGGGACCTTTCACAGCCATCTCTGCCTCCACACACAGCTTGCTGGGATGAGCTCTGCCCTGCTGCCTTGTCCTCACAGCCCTCCCAGGCTGGCTGGGCAACACGTGCCCCAGCCAAACCATCTTCATGCTCAGCCAGCTTCAGTGGAGAGAAGTTTCCCCTCATGCCTAAACCACCCTCCAGCTGTGGCTGCTTGTCCCAGGGGCATGGGGACTGGCACCATCACTTCTCCACTCCTCTCTTTTCCCTAACAGCCAGCCTGAACCCTCCAGCCCTTCCTGCAAGTCACCAGCACCAATCTCTGCTCCAGACGTTCAAAATCCTTGGATGTGAAACTAATGGGGTGACTTTGTGCCCCAAAATCAGATCACAAGGGGAACTCATGAAGGTCTCGGTAAATTCCCCTGCAAGTTTAACTGCCTGCTCTTGAGCAAATGAGGATTCAGGGTGACGAACACAGGCCTCAGCCTCGTTAGGTGCCTCTGACAAACGGCTGACAGCTCTACCATCTCCTGGAGCAACTTTTCCTTTCCTGGATGTTTTCCAGCCAGATCCTTGCCTGGTCCAACTGTGCTTAGCACACGCCATCCTTCATGCTGGCAGTACTCAAGAAATTGGACCCAGCTCCCTGGTTGGGAGGCAGACTTCCCTCACCGTCCGCAGGAGACGGCCCCAGCTCACAGCAAGCTGGGCCGAGCTGTGTCCCCAGACTGGAGATGGCTCTCCTGGCCAAACCTGTCCCTCGCTTCGCTTCAACAGCACCACCGTGCAGCAGGCAAGAGAATCTCCTGCATGAACACCATTGCCAGGAGACATCGCCATCCCCACACCCACCATGCAAAGATCAAGGCTGGATCCAGAGCGCGTACAGGTTGGATGGTGATCCTCCCAGCAACCTGGCGATAGCATAGCGGCTCCCGGTGCGACGGTCAGCTTGCCGGGATGCCGAACCACCCACTGGGCCGGGGCAGGTGGTGGCAGGGCTGAGGAGAAGGTGGGTGAAAAAGCATCAGCTTTTAAAACCAAGGGTTTGGCACTGCGTGCACTTGGCTGCCGGGTGGTGGGGATGGTGTGGGTGGGTCTGTGTGTTCTGTCTTGTTCTATTTTTGCTCGCAATGTGTCATTTTGGGGGAGGTGAAACCTTTAACAATGCACCGTCGAGAAGCAGCCGATCTGTTTTCCACTCCTAGGAGCTGCACTGTCACCGGTACCAGAGCCATTCCCCTCGCACAGGGTCAAACCCCCGATGGCAGCAAGAGGGGGCCGGAACTCAAGGAGAGGTGGCGGTGTCACCAGGAGACGCTACTCAAGTGAGGCTGGCTGAGGCAGAGCTGGCCCCAGCATGCAGGCTGGATGCCCGAGCGTCGAGCCGCACGCCAGGCCCCATACACAGATTTCTGGGCATTTCTTATTCTGGGATTTCCAGCTCCATGGGTTGGTGATGCACGATGAGCCAAGTGATGCGGAAACAGCGACAGAGCAAACCTCTCCTCTGCAGACACTCGGCTGAAAGCATGTCCATCGTCATAGTGCAACCGCTCCGGTACCACCTCTGTAAAAGCAGCACCAGACACAAACCAAGAGCAGGAACCAAATGCCGAATGATTTGGTTTAACGTTTTATATGAGGAGAAGTAGGGCAGCTCACCGAGTTCCTCTTTACTGAGGATTTTTGGTGCAACACAGAAGTTGAGGAATAGATACAGCATCACGGAAGCAGCCATCCTTCAGCCCAATGCTGCAGGCTGAGGGGGGGTGGAAAGGGGGGCAAGCACCATAGGAAGGAGTTAATATGGGCCTAATCCCAATGGACTTGGTTTTTGCCATGAAAAGAAGAAAAGACAAAAATCCCAAGGATTTTCAGAACTACTTAAGGAAACCAATCCTCTTAGCCTGGAGCATCTCAGCTTTCCAATCCAGGATCCGAGCCCTTTGGGGGAGCAGGCTGATGGAAGTGTGGGATACTTGGGTTTTGCAGAGTCAGGCACGCCACCCCGACAGCTCAGCGTCCACCACTGCTGGGACCAGAAGCCTGCATCAGTTGGTGCTGGTTCTTTGGCTGAGCAGACCGCTGAGCTCAGGGGGGCTTCTGCACCCTGCTGGCACCACCACCACCGAGGGCCGGTGCAGCAGAT